AAAATCGAAAATCGAAAATCGAAAATCGAAAATCGAAAATCGAAAATCGAAAATCGAAAATCGAAAATCGAAAATCGAAAATCGAAAATCGAAAATCGAAAATCGAAAATCGAAAATCGAAAATCGAAAATCGAAAATCGAAAATCGAAAATCGAAAATCGAAAATCGAAAATCGAAAATCGAAAATCGAAAATCGAAAATCGAAAATCGAAAATCGAAAATCGAAAATCGAAAATCGAAAATCGAAAATCGAAAATCGAAAATCGAAAATCGAAAATCGAAAATCGAAAATCGAAAATCGAAAATCGAAAATCGAAAATCGAAAATCGAAAATCGAAAATCGAAAATCGAAAATCGAAAATCGAAAATCGAAAATCGAAAATCGAAAATCGAAAATCGAAAATCGAAAATCGAAAATCGAAAATCGAAAATCGAAAATCGAAAATCGAAAATCGAAAATCGAAAATCGAAAAATTGAAAAGTGGAAAAAACAACAGTTAGTTACCTATGTTTAATAAAAACTTTCCATTCTACACTTAACTTTTATTTAATAAAGAAACCATAATGGTCGTGGACAAAGTATAGTATTAGACTCGGGTGACTTGCGCCCCTCGCCTACAGCTCGGGACGCAAACGTCACCCTGCGTGAATAATGGCTACCATAAATTGCTCGTTTAATAATATACTATTATGTTTTGTAGAACCAAGTACCATAGCAAAAAAACAAAAATGCAAAGCGCTCAATTCCCCTCCCCCCCCCCCCCTATGGCGTAATTGTACGCAGAGGGTAGGGCATTGTGCGAATTATTTTAAATATATTTTGATAATAAAACATGAAAATCAAGAGCTTTATATAACATGTTTATTAACATCTTAAGTCCATTAAATATATTTTTTATTTACAGTGCAATAATCACATAGATAACCTTCAGCTCGATCAGCATCACTACATGCTGCATGATTCTATGTGGAACAGTCAACGCATCTGTACCATAGCTCCCTATTGCGACCAAACTCACCACAAATGCCACATACTTCATTAGGGTTATCTCTACGTTCAACATCGTCAAAATTGTCAGAATCGTCTTGGTCGTCGTCATCGCAAATTGTCTTCTTTCTTCTTGTTATCTGTTAAGTTTCTTTTAACAGTCTTAACTTTCTTGGCTGCTGTTGTTCTTCTTTTCTCCTCAGCTTTTTCTAATTGTTCTTTCATAGGGGGTCGATGTTAGTATTTCGGGGCACTGTTTACCACGAGACTTTCTCTTAGGGTCTTTAAGATTTGATTTCTTTTTTGGAATCGGAGCAAAGCTGAAAAACGAGTTGTCTGATGTGAAAAGATCTTGTTGCTATGAATTAACTGCTTTATACTGATTTACTGGAGATTCCCGTGATGTAGAAGGCCCAGCAGCGAGTGTTGAGGGTCTCTTAATATCGGGTATAGAGGTTTCGACTATCAGAGGTCTTATTTGATGTGCAGGTGCAAAATCATTCTCGGTGAATTTATCCGGGTTTAACGGATATATTCCAGCAGTTCTAAAGCCAGAAATAGCTTTCTCCATAGTCTCTACTTTTAAAAATGCTCTATTTGAAATTTCAGCCAAGTCGTATTCTGAAATTTTTTCATATCCCGTATTGGTAAGCTGTAGATCAACTTCCCTAGAGAGTTGGTTTTTAAAAGAACTAAAAAATGTTAGGTCCAGTGGCTGAAGGTGGTCAGAAGTATGAGGTGACAGAGATACCATGTGAATAAATTTGCTTTTACAGAATAAATAAGCTTCTAGCGATATATAACTGGAATGATTGTCTAAAACTAGGAGAACAGGATCGGTTTCTGTGGGATTGACGTTTTTCAAAATATTTTAACCATTCAACGAACAGCTTCGAATTGATTCATTCATTTTTAGAGCAGGCGTAAAAAGCTCCAATTGGTCCATTTTTTGTAGGGCTGGGGATATTTGCTTCCTTGGATATATTAGCATAGGTGGACAATAGTTACCTACCGCACCAACTGCAAATACTGCTGTTATTGTTCGTCCACGCTCCGCCGAAATAACAGCTCCAACTTTTTTACACACTTTTTTGCACCACAGTGACCCCTGTCTTGTCCATGTTAAAAATCCTGTTTGGAGGAAACCTATGTTTGTCCATTACCACTTTCAGATTTTCGAAAAACTTCTTGGTTGAGTCAGAGTTAAAAAAAAACAATTCTATTTATGCTGGTGCCTTCTGGCTGCCAAAGTTTTATTTCAGGATTTCTTTCAGGAACACATATAACATATAACCAGCTATTTGTTTTTCGGATGAGAAAATATGTTCTTATATTTAAATGCACCGACGAAGTGCGTCGAACCATAAAAAAGCTTGACAAGTGTAAGCACGTACTCCTTTAGTTGGGCCTCAATTTTCGGGGAAAATACTGCTTTACGATCAAGGCACGATGATACAGGATTTTTTTCATTTGCTTTCTTAATTTTGACTCTGGTATATTAAATGTCCGACCAACTTCTCTTATTTTTTTGCCATTTCTAATTTCCCCTAAAGCTTTCTTCAAATTTTCTGAATCCCAGGAATTCCTTTCTGTCTTCCGTTTGTAATTTCTTGGCATCTGTAAAGAAAGAAAAAATTCTCATTTAATTTTATGTGGGGTAGTTATGCGCAGAACCGCGCACAATTTCCCCGCAGCACGTAATTTGCGAAAACTTGTCAAAACAGAAACAAAAAATCAGTCCATCATAATTTAATTTACATTAAAAGATGCTTAAACGTTTACTAATTATGACCACACTTGCTAAAAATGTATTAAGAATAAACAGACAGCTTACCTTCTAAAATCAGATACCGCCAAAATTATAACCAAACACCAACATGTGCGTTCGACCAAAAACGTTCTCAAACTAACTGTATTTGAATTGATTCCGAGCAGTGTTGCCAGTCTAGTACAATTGTACTAGATCTAGTACATTCTTTTATAATCTGGTACTCTAGTACACTCGAAGAAAAATCTAGTACTTTTTTCAGCGTATGTTCCATTTGAAGTGTAAAATATATTGTTCAAAAATTGCCAAAGAAATTAAAATAGTTTGTTTAAAATTGCTTCAGAGATAAAATAGTAGACATTTCTCGAGAGATAAAAACATTGTTCAAAAATTGCACGAGAGAACAAATATTGTTCAAAAATAGCTTGAGAGGTAAAAAAGGATGTTAAAAATTGATCGAAAGATAAATTAGTATTAGAAATTGCTTGAGGGGTAAAATATTGTTCATAAATTGCCTTAGGGATAAAAATACTGTTAAAAATTTAATGAGAGATAAAAATCTTTTAAAAATTTTTCGAGAGATTAAATAGTATCTATTATAAATAAAATCGTGTTCAAAAATTGCTCGAGGTAAAGTAGTATTACAAAATGTTAAAACCTTGTTTAAAAATTGCTCGAGAGATAAAATACTGTTGAAAAATTTGTTGAGAAATAAAATATTGTTTAAAATTGACTCGAGAGAAATTTATCGAAAGATAAAACATTGTTTAAAAATTCCTCGAACGATAAAATACTACTAGAAATTGCTCGAGAGATAAAAAAGTGTTTAAAAATTGCTAGAGACTAAAACATTGTTAAAAATTATCGAGAGTTAAAATATTGTTATAAATTTGTCGAGAGTTAAAATATTGTGCAGTTTGCTAAAAAGATAAAAAAAGTTGTTAAACATTCCTCGAGAGATAAAAAATTGTTTAAAAATTACTCGAAAAATAAAAAATGTTAATAAAAATTGCTCGAGAGATGAAATAGTGTTAGAAATTGTCAAAATTTTTGCTCAAAAATTGCACGAGAGATCAAATATTGTTCAAAAATAGCTTGAGAGGTAAAAAGGCTGTTTAAAATTGCTTGAGTGATTAAATAGTGTTAAAAATTGTACAAAAAATATTGTAAAAACATTGCTCGAGGGATAAAAAAAGTTGTTAAAAATTGCTCGAGAGATAGAATACTGTTTGAAATTTATCGAGAGATAAAATATTGTTTAAAAATAGCTCAAGAGATAAAAAAAGGTTTTTAAACTGTTCGAGAGATAAAATAGTATCATAAGTTATTAAAATCTTTTTTCAAAAATTGCTTGAGAGATAAAATAGTGTCAGAAATTTGTCGAGAGAAAAAATATTTTTAAAATTGTTGTGTTCGCGTTCTCTATAAACCTTTTTTTTGCTCTTTAATGACCACCCTTCACAATTAGAAAATATGGTAGTTTTATAGAATCTAGTACATTCTTATGTAATCTGGTACATTTTTTAGACAAATCTAGTACATTACAAAAATATATTCTGGCAACACTGATTCCGAGTATATGCGTATTTGATATATCGATCGCTAGGTGGCAGCACTTGTTAGATTCCGTAATATTTAATATTTAAGCGAGGATTGCAATGCGCACAATTGCCCGCTGCGCACAATTCCCCCACTCTCCCTTAAGGGATGATTTAAATGTATGTAGTTTGCAAAGTAGTAGTCTAGATTTAGAAAACTGTTACTAGAAAAACATGCCAATTTTGCCAGACGTATAACAGGTCCTTCTATAAGCAATTGGCATAGATACCAAGAAATGTAGCACTTGTTTCGGAAAAATTTAAACCGTTAATGTGGCAAATAGATATGAAAATGAATAGATATGAACATGGATATTGACATCAATACCATAGGTATCTAGTCATAAATTTGGGAGATACGAGTAGGTAGCGACAATGATTTAGATTTTCGATCACCACCTAAATAATAATTATTGATGAAAGTTTGATACAGTATTAGCTCATTAAGTTTTCCTAAAGTTTTTGCACAACTTCTTGTCTACAATGATGATGGGTGAGATCTTCTTTACCTGTAATAGGTAATATGTGATTGCCTATACTTCATTTAAATTGAAAATCTATTGATTCTAAATATGTTAGTTTTTGGTTAATAACTATAATTAAAGCACCAAAAAGAATTAAATTTTTGAATAGTTGCATTTCTTACCAATGAGTCACCCACATATCTGAACAGTTTGTAACAACTTGAGCTGTAATGAACATGGAAAAAGTGAATAGTAAAAATAAAATGCTAGCACCGGCTCTCCAATAACCGATATACGTATCAGAGGAAATATCGCCTTTTTCTATTAATTCATCGGTTTCTTTTGGCTCGTTTCCAGCAATAGACTAAAATAATAATAAGAAAAATAGTTATAACGAAACTACACCATACAAATATATTTTTTTGTTTGAGATTAACAAATTACCCACTTCAAGAGAATTCGCCGACTGGAAGGTAAGATCTTTGCTGGACGCTGTTTTCATATTCTCAATTTTTTTAGTTTCTTTTTCTTCTTCTACTTCTTGTCGTATGATTTTCAGATGTTTTTCTGTAAAGTCACTAAAACTGCCTACTTTTTCGATTCTTCCCTAGAAAATATTGATTGTACATAAATAATAAAAAGTAGAAAAATAGTTGCAAATTTTGAGCTCAATTTATCATTTTACATCTTGTATTTTTTTCCCAGAGTTCATTGCTTGAAGGAATTTCATTGGCATAAACTGAAGACTTCATATTTTATAACATAATCTCTCAAAATCTTAACACCAAAAGTTTTCACAAAAATGTCAAGAAATTAAACCCTAAAGCTTGCCCATGTTCTTTTGTTTATTGAAGAACCTTTTCTAAGATATCCGAAATATTATGAACAGCAACAAGAGGCACATGGGATTATAGTTAACAAATTTGTATCAAAATTTCAAAAATGGCAAGGCGCGTTTCTTCTAAACTATAACAATTTTTTGATTAGTGTAGGGTTGTTTGCTAATCTAATTCATGGTATTGACTTAAAAGATATGAATTTTGTGTTGTTTTACTATTGAAGCAAGGGTGATTGTTCACGAAAAACTGACTATGTCAATGGCGACAAGTGACACTTGAATGTTTCATGTAAAAAATTACATTGCAGATTGTTTTCATTAGGTCTTTTCCGTTGCATCGAAAGTATGGAGGGTAGAGGAAAGGAGAACAATCTCTGTATACAAAAAGTGTCCCTCAAAATGTATACAATTAAGATGGCGCTTCTGTGCCCAGGGGACGTCGACAGTCGATAATTCAGATCACACAATGACACCAATGATGTATATAGTAATAAATATTGCTCAACCATAAAAAACTAAAAACTACACCGTGAAAAGTGACTGATCGTAGAAGAGTAAGTGTTCTGTGATCGTAGATAAATTTTGACAATACAGGACAATAGTCAAATTTTATTGAAAAATAATAATATAAACAATAAATTATTCTTATATTAAAATGGCACGGAGGTCTCAATTTACTGCTTCCTGTCTGATTTAATTATGAATGAGCAATCTATATGACTATATAGCATTGGATTTTGTCCCCTGGCTACACGAGCGCCATCTTAATTGTATACATTTTGGTGGCCACTTTGTTAATATAAAGATCCATACAAGATTGTCCTCCTTTTCTCTACCCTCCATAATCGAAAGTTTAGCACTGAGCTACGTCACTTCTGCAAATATCGTTCCATCCATAAAATTTGTATAAATGGCACGAAATCAGCAAGTATCAGGCAAAACTATTGCCATATACTCTGATATCCAAGCAGCTCTAAAAGCAATTCTCTCACCAGAAATCAAATCACGACTGGTGAAAGACTGTCTAGAAGACCTGGTAGAGCTAAGGAGTCAAAACAAGGTAACCCTAGTCTGGGTGCCAGGCCATGAGGGATATCAGGCAACGAAAAGGCCGAGAAGTTTTAGATAAGGCCATGACAGGCACCAAACCCTTCTGTTGAGTTGCTAAGGCATTGTGCAAGGCAATCATCAAACAATGGATGCAAAAAGAGCCTGAGGAATGGTGAAACAACTATCCAAGACTGAGACAAACCAAACAGTTCATCAATGAACCATCAGCCAAGTTCACGAAAGACCTACTGGTTCAAAAGCGTCAAATCGTTATGATAACAGTAGATCTTTTTACCGGACACTGTCGCCTTAAAGTGTTATCAATCCAGCAAAAGAAGGAACTTTGTGTAGCTTCTGTGAAGAAGAAGAGAAAACATCATTCCACGTCCTGTGCCAATGTCCAATGTGAAGGCCTGGCTGGAATGAGGTTTCTTACATTGGGCGAAACAAAGCCAAATGCATGCAACTACATGCGGGAGCCACTGTTAAAGCTACTAAGTCTAATAAAAAAGAGCAGGCTAGACGACATAGTCTAAAACAAACGGAGTCCCAGAACAGATCTGAAAAGGTCGCGGTGGACAAGGACACATAACGTACAACTCCCAATATAATCTAATTTGATCGACACTTTTGATGTAAAGGAAAAGACCTAGTTCATGTTAGGTTATCCGTTGTAATTTTGTTGTATTTGTGTTAAAAGAGTTAATTAGAGTCCATATTGTGAAATTGTAAATAATAAATCATCTTGTGAATATCAGCAGGTTTTATAATAAGAGAGACATATGTCATTAGGAAGTCTATATCAAAGTATATTAAAAGTTGAGTAGCGACAGCTGGGGAACCGAATTCTAGTGCGCCGACGCGAAATAGAGAGGCGAGACGTCTTCTAAAGATGTAAACAACCCCTTTCACTTTAGTCCGGCAGCTGATATAGGAATTCGTTTTAGTTAAAAATTGTATTCAGCGACATGTTTAAACAACGCGAAATTTAAAGTTTGAGACAACTCGATTAATAAATAAGAAGGTCCATAAGTAATAATTTCTATTGTTATCAAAAATCAAAACCCTGTGCACCTACCAACTTTCAAGTCTCTAGTTCATCCGGACGTAGGTAAAAAAATTGAAATTTATCAATAGTGATATATATTTTTATATTTATTACATAAGTTAAATACTCATAAATATAAAACTGCCTAATGACCAAACCTTTATTATAAATGTAAAATACAAAAGAGTTTTACTTCAAATTACGTCGAGCAGTGTAAACATCACATTCAAGACCAGTTCATAATTCGAGCAGTGTTTTAGTGTGTCGTTCCGTCAATAACGTCAAAAGAGAGATAAAGAAAATTTGCACCACCCAAGATCAAAGGCACCGACGCTTTATGTCGCTACTCAACGGTTAATATACTTTGTCTATATGCTCTATCTCCAACTACGGAGTGATTCGCTGTGCACGTTTTCATTTAAATCTGTTATTTCTGATATAATGGAGCAATACCGAACGATTTAATCGAGGCAACAGAAACAGATTGAATTGAGGAGAAATATGTGCAATACCGAATTCAATTAAGATGTATGAATTTTGATGTGTTATTTCATTTAAAAATAAATGTACGTCTTCATTTTAATTTGGCAACCGAGTAATTATTACTTATTTACCATTGACAGATATCAAAACCAATGAGTTAAAAAGGAATAAAAATATGTTGCAATAATAGGACTTACATTATTAATTATTACAATGAGATCAGCGCTCTTCATAAACTGCAACTGGTGGGTGACCAAAATCCTTGTTTTGCCACTCAAATAGCCCTTTATGCATTCTTCAAACAAATGCTTAGCGACTTTGGTATCTACAGCGGACAATGGATCGTCCAATAGATAAATATCAGCTTCGCTATAAACGGCTCTAGCTAAATTCACTCTTGCCTTTTGCCCTCCACTTAGAGACGTTCCTCTTTCGCCTACCAACGATTTGTCGCCAAACGGGAATTGCTTAAAATCTTTATCCAGGGAACAAACCTTAACGACTTGGCGGTACCTGCAATTTAGTATTTAAAAATTTGTTAATAAAACGTTTCAAGCAGCTTCAAGTAGAATAACAATTAACCTAATCTCGAATAAGTTTGCAACACAAAGTTACGTTGAATTATTTGTTGTTTTTTTTTGATATTATGGTGTCCATTATTTGTATCATACAATGGACCTTCCCGTTATTCGACAATTTCGCATAACTCATGCGTATAAAAAGTGCGGGAATATTGAATCTAGTGATTTTCCAAACTTGTTCCCTTTCTTATCATCGCCTTACAATTAGGCATTCCAAACAAAATGGCTACCAGTGGTTTTTGACAGGTTATGATATGACAACATTATGGCAACCCTGTACCCTGTAGGCATGGAGATTCGACAGGATCAATGAAATAGATAGTTATATAGATTGATCATCCATGTTTTTCAAAATAGACATAAGCTTATAGCTTGAAATAAAAATGTAGGTAATTATATTTGGTTACTAGATTCAAAAACGTTAATTACAAACAGCTAGAGGCTTTACTTAACACTGCCTTAGGGTTTAAATTACTTATTATTTATTATCATTTTAGTATACGTTTGTTTACAGACGTCCATAACAAAAACCTGCGCACCGAGCACAGCACCGTCTCTGAATATACTATGTTTTAAAATTTGTTTTAAGACAGGAATGATAAATTTCTACAGAAGCACTGTAGAAATTCGGCAGAAACTCAAAGCGTTTTGTATGAATTAAAAAAAAATTAAAAAACGTGAAAAAAGGAAAATCACATGGACGACAGAAAACAACGAAGCCTTTTTCAAACTTAAAACGGATTTGTAAAATGCTATTCTTTTGACATATCCATCTGAGAATTTGCCTTAGGTTTTTTCTTCAAAAAAACTAAATAATGCACAAAAACGGTAAAGAACCTATGACAGAGAACTATTAGCAGCATATAAAGGCGTTAAAAAATTTCAATATATGATAGAATAAGGCGATTGCATCATTTATACGGATCATAAACAGTTATCATTTGCTTTTCAACAACGATTTAACATTGGTCAATTTACAACTGTTATTAAGTAGCCACGTACTTAATAACAGTTGTAGAATATTTTAGCTGATTTATGGTCAAAATCAGTGTCAGATTGGGACTTCCAGGGCCTACCGGTCAGGAATTTTTATTGTCCAGAGATCTCTATCTGGACAGCAACTAGGGAAAGATTAGAATCAGTGGATCTGTCTGGGATTTAAGCATGTTGATTTGGGTATGGTGGTGTTGTTGTAATCTTCACATTCCTTATGTAATTTTCTCATAGCCATTCCAATATTTTCATGAAAAATTATATCAGGCTATTTGGCAGGTAGGTTTTTGAGATATTCTTATCCATCCTTCCAAATTTGGGTGCAAAGACCACTTTTAACTCTCTTTATTGTTTGGGGATATACCTCAGAGACAACGAGATCTGAACATACCTACCAGGTGCAGTGTGAAAATTTTCAGACCCCACTGAAGTAGAGCTGGATAGATGCCCTCAGATCCTGGCGATTTAAATGAGAAGAAGCTATATATTCGGAAACAACATCAACTATTGGGGAAGCACCCCAAAACAGGCACATGGAAAAGCCTTCATAGGCAGACCATGTCCCAAAAGAACTGGAGAACTACTCTTAATGAATAGGAACCAATTGAAAATGATAACAGGGTTCATGACTGGGCACGCCCCAGTAAAGGGACAGGCTCTTTTTTAACAACCCCAGGTTGATCCAACAACGTATAGAACCCACTCACTCAAGGATCTGTACAAACTTGTACAAGGTACAAAGGTGACAGAGTACAACTGTAGTTTTGTAATAGTTCCAGATCTTGGTCATTAAAATTGGTAAAAAGTGCAATTTTCTAAGGATTCCACCACCACTCCAGAACCGCTACCACATTCTATCAAATGCCCTTGGATCCCGAAGGAGTTGCGAAAATCAAAAATTTTTAATCTCATTGGTCCGGGCCCTCTAGTCTTGAAGGTTAAATGGATAAAAGTGTGATTTACACCAAACATACAAATTATATTATTTTTATAGTAAAGTTGCTATGAAAATGATAAGATAGCAATTTGTTAAAAACTTACTAGAAAACTATCGTAGTTACAGAATATGTCAATATTATTATTATTTTACAATAATCTGTAAGACTTAAATTTTTGAAAATTGACAATATAGATTATCTGCTTCATGATTCGTTATATTTACATCGTAGTTACTTTTAAATTCAAATTGTTCAATACCACTCATCGATTAAAATACTAACTTGTGTTGATCATAAGGCTTCCCAAACAGAATATTATCTCTCACATTGGACACGAACAACCAAGGTTCTTGGGATGCGTAAGCAATCGCTCCATTCACGTTCAGCTTTCCAGAGCTTACCGGTAATTCTTTAAGCAACAATTGCAAAAGACTACTCTTTCCAGCTCCCACATCGCCAACTACGCAACATAATGCGCCCGATTTGACATGCAAGTTGACATTTACTAAAGTTGGTACGATTGAATTCGGCATCCAACTAGCTGTTACGTCGTGCAGTTCGATGCCTCCAGTGTCTTCTTTAAGTCCTTTCTCGTAATAAGTTTCTTCTGAACGTGTAATTTGGTTGCTGTTAGGTTCTTTTGAATTTTTGGTAGAGTTTGTGATACTTTTGCGTTCGATTTCATCAAGTAGCAGAAATTTTTCGATCCTAAAAGATAAATAGAAAACTGTACATTTAAATATGAACATAAAACAAAAACAAACCTTCCTATCGAAACCTTAGCTTCGTTATAAAATGTCAATCCTCTCGGAAAGCCGATACACATAACCTGTGTGACTGTACTAAATAGTTGAGCCATGGAAAATACAATATCTCCAGTTATTGCTTTTCCGGCTAAGGCAAATGTTACTAAAGTTACGTAAAGACTTAACCTCTCTGAGAATACACCCATAGCAGATAGAACACCATTTACATAAGAAGTTTTTCTAATAAAACTGACTTCTGAACTAAAATGTTTTTATTATTAATAAATTAATTTAAAAAATATATTTAAATGTATTTCCAAATATTACGAAAAAGTGTTTGGTACGGTTCATAAAGTAATACCAGTGCTAATATGGTCTCTCTAGTCTTCATAATGGATACCTACTCCGTGGCACGATGGATGACAGTTATTATTAATGTTTTAACTTGTGGATAGTACTAAAAATTCCTGCAGGGGTTGTTAAAAATGATGTACCAAATAGAAAACAAATAATGACGGAGAACTGTCAAAAGTATTCAGTTAATATTTGCTATTATCAAGTAAAAAATAGAATATAGTCGAAAACAAAAAGTTAAAATAAACGAACAGTGGAAGTAAATTGCTGGCCTAAATACAGGCGCACGTCTAAACCAAAATGTGGAGGTGCTGCCCCGTCATATTGAAACTGCATGTTATTTCCAATATATAAAGGACATTTTCTAATAATAGGGGCAAAATGTTTTACAGAGCAGCCAGCAAGTGAACTATTAACATGTTTATAGACAATTGTTGCTGGTGTCTTCTAAAGGTCACACTTTAAGGATTTTCATAATTTAAAATGTGCTTGTTTCTACTATTAAAATAACCATCGCGTCTAAAACATGCCTCTTTAGTAAACAATACTTTTCTTGCGAAGTGAGGGTATATTAAGTTGTTAGAGGCTAATCGATGTGGATAAACTTCTGGATTTAAAACTTTCACGCGTTGTAAATGGTAGGGATGGAAGGGTTAATTATGCAGGACGCGTTGTATCTTCGATTTGGAGGAACATGTATGGAGTGTAAATGCGCGAATACTTTTGGATTGATTTTCCTTTACATGGTATAGAACTCCTTCTTTATATTCAATCGTACGAATTGCTTATAGACGACCACTATCAACAGAGTGCTGTAGGTTTCTTCTTTTTCTATGGGGACGATTGATGAAAGCAAAGGTTATATCATAAGGTTGTAGGGGTTCCAGATGTCATTTTTCATACAAACGTGCTGCTTCTGTCACATTATAATTGGCTGCTAATACGACTGGCCCATCTTTTAGCAGATTTTACTATAATTAAATGAGTCAGTCAAAGACAGAGTTCTGAAACTTAAATATTTTATAGATTGCTCTCGGCTAAAACTCAGTTTAGTACAATTTTATTGTTGCTGAACTGGAGAGTGGTCTGGGGTCTTATTTAAAGAAACAGAATATTTTAAAGAGTTCTTTTTGGACAACAGATTAAATATCTTTGAATAAAATTGACAATATATGATTTTAACAATAGAAAAAACCGTAAATGAACCTACGTAGTACTATGCGGTTTACAGTGCAAGGTAAATGCCTTTTTAATCTAAAAGTATTGATATTGATGATATAGTTTAGCTGGTAAAATAAAATACAAAAATATGTTTTATTCAATATTTATTATCTTGTTTTGTAGGTATTCCTGTACCCAAAGGAAATTTAATTGAAATCGCCCTGTTATACATTCGACAGTTATAATTAAAAATGTCTTACTAGTCCAATTAAATAACGAAAAAAAGCCCCTTCGAGCTTACATTAATTTGTAACTGGATGAAACAAAAAGGACCTTGTGTATTTTGATGTGATCTTTCCGAAAAAAAGAAAAACAAGATGTAGCAGTTTATAGCTAATTATCTGGGCAAGTATCATTCCGATAGTGAAAATAAATGCACCATTCGAAAGAGGAGGCAAAAATAGTTCGGAAATTCATTGCACAGGTAGTTTTAATGGCGAATTTCTCGCCGCCATAAGTGCTTTTACCAAAAAGTCGTTTTTTCGTTTTTTGGATCAGAACCATGGACATGAAATTTGCGATGAATTTGTGGCGAAATTATAAATGTTAGACATATGTGCCCATGAGAGAAGTTGCGTATTTTTTTGTTGGCTCTCAAATAAAATAAGTCCCGCGGAGAAATCTGACATAATTTTTCGGAAATTCGCAGGAAACCAGAGGCGTAGTTTTTTTTTAATTTTTTTCCCATGTGATTTTTTCCGGGTTTTCTGAAAACATCTAACAAAATAAATATATTTGAAAAAACTAACTTCGCCATCGAAAAGAGCACAAAAAAATACACAAAAGGGTATACTTTAAAAATGTTAGGAAATTAATCCTAAGCCTGAGTGTAAGTTCAAACTTGGTGATAAGCTTGCTTTTTGTTCGCTAATATCTGGTAATTCTATATTTTGCACATAACTCAAGAAACGTCTTATAACAAGTCAGTAAAATACAATTTAATAAATTTTAAGCCTAATAAATTTAGATATGCAAGAAATTTAAAACTGGAAATCGCAAAAAAATCAAATTACAGTAATGTATACACGAGTTTTGGATCCCGCGGAGCGCGTGTAATGGGACTTTTGTCGGGAGAATTCTACAACTTAGAAGAAACATACACACTTTAAACTTTGTATACACATTTAGAAGACATGAAATTTGAGTTTGTTTAATTTTCAGACAAAAAAACTAAAAATTGTCAATTTTAGGCAACTTTTCTCAAAAACCGTGTTTTTTGGTCGTCACTCAATGAACAGTGGTCAAAAAAATAGATAAAATATATTTGCAGAATTTTCCGTAATGTAATCGTATTCTAGACACAATAGAGTACTCAAAAAAAAGTTTTGAGCCATTGGGTACATTTTTGGGATCTTTGTGCCACTTCAAACTTTAGAATTTTTTTTTTTTTTTTTATTTATTTAATTGTTTGATATCTTAGCCAATTATGGTCCGATGTCGGTGAAATTCACACACACATAAGATTTCACATGTAAGAGTAAGTTTTGTGAGTGGCATTAAAAAAATTCAAATGGTTTGGCCGTTATAGGCAAACAATGAAATTAGGACCGCGGTGCATTTTGCCCTTCTGCCATATGCCCAATTTTGGGATTTCTCTTGCCCCCTTCTAGGAATCACTAGTCACATCCCTTAAGTTCAAAACGCATTTTTGTTTTTTCAAATATCTTAATTTTTACCAATGTTATAAATAATTTAGTGTTTGAACATTTAACAAATTCAATTTTTCGACCTTCGTCGCCTCAAAATACTAAACAAATTTCAATCGTCCATACCGCGAGAACGGTGCATGGGCTCAAAATTTCTCAAGAGACATAAAAATTAGCATTTTTCCTAAGCTTTCAAACGTCGTAAATTGCGTTTTAAAAATATTGATTTTTTTCCGACATGCGCCTGCGCAAAATTGAAAAATTGACAAAATCCAAAATTTCGGCACTTTCGAAAAACTGCTACATTTTGTTTTGCCTTTTTTCGAAAAGATCACCTCAAAATACATAGAATCCATTTTGTTTCATCTAATTACAATTTAATGTAAGCTCAAAACCCGTAATTTAATTCGATTATACTTGTTTCCTTGCAGTACAAATAATTTTAATGGTTCAAAAGCTCCAACGTGAACCTGATTGATTATATCTGCAGAAAAGCGTTGGAATCAGTATCAAACAGCTACAGACTGGAAGGTGAGTGATGCTATCAAATATGATTCTTATTCCAATGTTTTATCCAAGAATATGTGTTAGATGAGAGGTAATAGTAGATATGGTAACTAGTCCACTATATAGTAGTTGGCAATGAATAAAAGCTAGGTGGTAGTTGGTAGTTTATAGTCGATGGCCTGAAAACAGGATGAATCCAATATATTAAAGTTTTTATGATGAAATGAGATCAAGGCAGCTTACCGTGAAGAGTAAAGGCCTTCTAAAGATATGTATACAAATCCACTAACGCGAATAATCAGCTTTGATTAATTTTTCGTTATACAATATCTTTGATGGAATTTCTTTTTGTTTTTGGCTTTCTAAATTCGAAATTAATTTCGATTATTTAAATGAGTCCACATGGCCCAATATCAGTCCCAAAAAAGAGACAAAACCAGAAAGTGAGAGAGAAAGCATACTTCCTTGATCTAGATAGGAGATTTTTGGTGACAATAATAAATCTAACCGTAGTAGGCTTTTATGTTAATATTTTTAGGCAGAAGATTACCTAATATTTTGGACTACAATAGGAAAAAGGTCAATATTGTTTGTACTTTGGAATGTAAACAATAATTCAAGTAAAATAAATAATTGTTAAATATCTATTAGCATTATTTTAAACTGTAAGTATTTATTTATTTATTTTTTCCTTTAGTTTGTTTTAACTTTAAAATATCTGTTGCACAAAAGTATTAAGCCCGTAACATCGCACCATAAGTAAGGTGCATATCAGTAAGTTCTTGAAATAAGAAATTATTGTCCAGTTTTAACACAAATTTTGAATCAACAAAAACTCCTACGTAAAATTGGCAACTTGGGAATGTTTATTGTGATAAAGAAATGTTTTTGCTCCCCAACGTCCAAGAAATAATTTAAAAATAAACAACAATGAAAAAGAGAAAAAAAGTCTGTGTCACAGAAACAACAAAATATAAATTTTTCACCACAATTTTATATTATTTATTATTTTCATATTATTACTTTCCTATCTGTATACAGATATAAGGAAAGTATAGGAATCATGATTTTTTTCGACCTCGAGTTTTCGACGGATTTTTACGTTTTGAGGTCCCCTGAATCCGTTTTGACTATTTTCGCGATGATGTCTGTGTGTGTGTGTCTGTGTGTGTGTGTCTGTGTGTCTGTATGTCGCATAACTCATGAACCGATACATAGAAAAACACCAAATTTTAAACTTAAGCTTTATGAAATGATTAGATTTTGGGCAGAGTCGGAAAATCTGGGGGGGTACTTTATGGGTGGTCATTTTTATATTTTATGGAATATATCTGTTATTTACGTTTGGAAAAAAAATTCTTTAAATAAAAGTTACTGTAATTTTTGTTCTATACAAAATTTTCCTAAAATGGTCCGTATTCGAGAAATTTGACAAAATCTAAAAAAAATATTTTTTAATAAAAATTGTTCAAATAAAAGTTGTTTGTAATATAATTTTCTATAATTTTTATTCTATACATAATTTCTCTAAAATAGACCGTATTCGAGATATTTGAGAAAATGTATAAATTTCGAATTTAGAAGAAAACTCAAAAACGGATAAAGAAAAAAACATTAAATTTTAAACTTAAGGTTTATTTCGGCCTGACGTGAAATGATTAGATTTTGGACAAAGTCGGAACATCTAGGAGCATCTACATCTAGGAACATCTACTTTATAGGAGGCCGTTTTTATATTTTATGAAATATATCTGTTATTTATGTTTGGAGAAGAAAATTGTTTAAATAAAAGTTACTTTTAATATTATTATCTATAATTTTTGTTTTACGTCAAAATTTCCTGAAATGGTCCGTATTCGAGAAATTTTACAAAATGTGCAAAATTCTGATTTTTATGAAAATTGTTGAACTAAAAGTTGTTTGCGATATCGATCTCTATAATTTTTGTTTATACATGATTTTTCTAAAATGGACCGTAATGGAAAAGTGCTAAATTTAAATTTTTCAGTATTTTCGTTTTCAATGAATATCTATAGAAAAATGTTTCGAGGTAGATGTTTGTGGACAATGTATACAGGGTGGACCGGATTTAGTTTGCGTATACAGAGATCTCGTAAACCGTAAGATATACATTGTCGGTTAAATGGGGAAAAAGTTATTCGTATTTTGACGGATAATACACTGGTCCATAGAAGTTATAGATTTTCTGACTGGTTCCGGAGATATTCGATAAAATCCGAAAAACCTCATTTTGGTTTTTTAAGTCGTGCGTTTTTATTATAAAAGATATATAAAAAAATTATAAGAAGTTTTTGTTATAAATCAAGTTCCCTATAATCTGCCATAACAAAATTTTTATTACGACGTTTCGTATTTCCAGGGCCCCCTTCAACTTATTTTTTTAAATACGGACCTGGATTTTTAAATGTAATTTTTTATAGCTTTTGTATAGCTAAATACAACGATATTTTACACTTTACCATTTTACTACGTTTTGTCTATGAAAATATCATCATAATAATTAAAAAAGAAAAAATGCTTAAAATATGAAATTTTAAATATTATTTGAAACATAATACAAGAATTATTTAATTACAAAATGGGTTAGAATTTTTTATCAAACATGATTAAGTACAACCAGCAAACAAGACTAATGAAGAACGAATTATGGTTGTACACATTCTACAAATAATAAAGCTAATAACAAAAACAAAATTCAAAAACAAAAACAGTCACAATAGTTTCTCAAAATGTAGTCCATTCTGTTGGATACAGAGTGCAATTCTCCTAGACATTTGGGATGTAGTTTTATCAACCATTTCTGGTGTAATTTTTTCAAATGCATCTACTATTCTTTGACGAAGTTCTTGTAGATTATTTGGCATATTTTTGTCGTAGATTTGGTTCTTTACGAAGCCCCATACAAAATAATCCATGGGGTTAAGACACGGAGATCGAGGAGGCCATCTTATTGGTCCATTAGTACCAATCCAATTACCTCTAAAATATTGATCGAGATACTCTGCAACCCTCCTCGCATTGTGTGCACCACAACCGTCTTGCATAAAGTATTGAAGATTTTGTCTTGTCTGTAAGGGCATCTCATCGAGTACTTCCTCCAATAAATGTAGGTATCGGAACTGATTTAAATTACCATCCAAAAAAATCGGCCCAATAATATGATTATTGATTAGTCCACACCACACATTTTGGGTAAAACGGAACTGTGGTCTAACTTCTCTGATTAAATGGGGATTAGAAGTAGCATACAAATGCTTATTCCTGGGATTAAATATTTCACTATTAGTAAAGGAGCATTCATTCGTCCATAATATATTTTTGTTGAAAGAACGGTCATTGCGCAGTTCTCTACTATACCAACGTCAAAACATCAGTCTTCTATCAGAGTCTCCATCGTGTAATTTCTGGACTTTTTGAAATTTATACCTGTGGTATTTATGTTTCTTTAAGATTCTTTTAACCGTGGAGGTTCCTACTACACATTCTTTAGCTATTCGCCTAATAGAATTTTCAGGGTTAATATGTATTTGGACAAGAACATTAATTTTATTATCAGTATGTCGAACCTGATATCTAGTTCTCCTTTTTTTCACACTGCTATGCTCTGCCATATTTTTTGAAATATAAGAAAACATCCTCTTAGATGGCTGTTGTCTATCAGGATATAAATCTAAATAAGTCTGAGCTGACCGGGTTTCATTCCTATAGCATCTTATGTACACATCATACATATCTTTCTTCTCTTTTTCAGTATAACGAAACATAATATTTATTTAATTTTAAATTATTTAAAGCTAAAAAGTACTGTAATATTAGATGTTACAGATTAAAACAGAAATATTGGTGACAAGTTACAACTGACATGCATGGCAAACATGATTTTGTTAAGATCTTATGTATGCAAAAATGAAAACATTAAAGATAGAAAAAATACGGTGTGAGAAACCTAAGCGAAAGATTTTACAGAAAATCAGGTGATAGGAATTTATAGATTGCTTGACCGTTTTGTTTTTCATTTTATGTTTTTGTTATTAGCTTTATTATTTGTAGAATGTGTACAACCATAATTCGATCTTCATTAGTCTTGTTTGCTGGTTGTACTTAATCATGTTTGATAAAAAATTGTAACCCATTTTGTAATTATAATTATAATTCTTGTATTATGTTTCAAATAATATTTAAAATTTCACATTTTAAGGAGGTTCTTTCGCCACCAATGTTAAATAAAAAATATTGGATTATGACTAAAATTAATTTTTTTCTAATAGTAGATGTCCTTATTTATCTAATAGTGAACTTTTAACTATAACTTACCGTGCAAATTTTTGAGAATTTTTTTTTTTAAATGTGTTTGTTTGTACAGTGTTTTATGAGAAAGTAAGACTTCAACAACAATTTCGAATTATAATTAATTTTACTATTATTTATTGATTAGATGGAGTAGAAAAAAAACTAAAAATAAGGTTTTTGAAATATTTAGGTTTTGTTTTTTACAATAAAATATATAGGTTACCGTGGAATTTATTGAGAAATTATTATTAAAAAATCACAAAAAATTTTCAACTAGGTTACTTGAAAATTTTTTGTGATTTTTTAATAATAATTTCTCAATAAGTTCCACGGTTTACTATATATATTTTATTGTATAAAATAAAATCTAAATATTTCAAAAACCTTATTTTTAGTTTTTTTCTACTCCATCTAATCAATAAATAATAGTATAATTCGAGAATTATTGTTGAGGACTTACTTTCTCGTGAGGCACTGTACAAATACTCACATTTAAAAAAAAATTCTCAAAAATTTGCAAGGTAAGGTATAGTTAAAAGTTCAGTATTAGATAAATAAGGACTTCAACTATTAGAAAAAAATTAATTTTAGTCATAATCTAATAACTTTTTTTTTAACATTTGAGGCGAGAGGTGTAGCGAAAGGACCTCCTTAAGCATTTTTTGATTTGTAATTATTATTTAATTAGCTACTTTGTTTTAATCAAGTAAGAAACGGTATCATCAGAAGCTACAGAGCTGATGATATTTTCATAGACGAAACGTAGTAAAATGGTAAGGTGTAACATATCGTTGTATTTAGCTATACAAAAGCTATAAAAAATTACAGTTAAAAATCCAGGTCCGTATTTAAAAAAAAATAAGTTGACGGTAGCCCTGGAAATACGAAACGTCGTAATAAAAATGTTGACATGGCAGATTATAGGGAACTTGATTTATAATAAAAACTTCGTATAATTTTTTTTGTATCTTTTATAATAACAACGCACGACTTAAAAAACGAAAATAAGGTTTTTCGGATTTTATCGAATATCTCCGGAACCAGTCGGAAAATCTGGAACTTCTATGGACCATTGTATTATCCGTCAAAATACAAAACTTTTTCCCCATTTAATCGACAATGTATATCTTACGGTTTACGAGATCTCTGTATACGCAAATTAAATCCGGTCCACCCTGTATATTTAGTTTATCCTTTAAACATTTATAGAGATGCTGCAATAGGTTGTACAAAATAACCGGAAAAAGCCTATAATAACTAGATAGGAAAGTCATGTGTTGGACACATCAGATTTTTAAATACCACCACTTTCAGCCAGGTCCACTGTTCGACAATTAATCAGGTAGATGATACCTACATATTTTATTTTGTTTTTATACGGGATTTGAGCAAAGTTGAAACACCTATAATGACTGTAATTCTTTGTGGTCTCTGTACATCTGTGACCTGTTGCTCCCACTCCGTATTAATTTATGAACCGTTGATTGGTAGTACTATATTATTGAATTGCACATGTATATATTTAAACCGATAAGAGCGTATGACGCACAAAAACGAGTGGCACTTATTTTAGCGATAAATTATTATAAAATTTAAAATTAAAAATGTCTAATGAAATATTTTACCTCCTATACATCTTAACCATCTTCTCGAAAGGTTTCTCCCAAGCATACATTTTTATGACTTGTATACCTGAGGTTACTTCATTCATTAGTTTTACTCGTTTGTCTGTTCTGATTGCAATTTGGTATCGCAACTTTCCTTGGAGCGTGGTCATATATACTGTAAAACAGTAAAAGAAATATTATTATATAAGGTCTGTTCTGGTTTTGAGAAATAACGATCCACAACTGTCGGGCTCATGCGCAGTAGATAAAAAGTGTTCTGGTTTTTCTGGGACTACTTCGGATCTCTCAGTCCAGTGTTCTGGTTTCGTATCCGAAATAATCCGTGATTGTTGTAAACAGTCAAAAAGTGTTCATGCTTGGGAGTGTGGATCGACTCGGACTGTTTTGACCGCGCATGCGTTTTTGAAGTGTTATGAATATTGTATTGGCTTTTTAGACCATACGAAACGTATACAATCCCAAATTGTTTATTTATATGTGGACGAATGTCTCTTGTTCTTGTTTTATTTGTAAATTAAAGCAATTTTAGAATTATTAATTTTTTAATATTCTGTTTTTATTTATTCCATTGAAATGTGATGATAATGATAAACATATACATGCAAATGTTATTTGAAGCTGAGCTTTCAAAAGGAACTTCATTATTATAATAAACAATAAACAAAACACCTTTATGACGTGTTCTGGTTTTCCAAGAATTTCAAACAGTCGGGGATTTTTTGCCTTTACGCATACGGTCCGGCGCAGTTTCAAAACAGTTTTCATTTTGAGAACCAGAACAAACCTATAGTATTAACCTTCTTTGTAACAACTAACAATAGAAAAACTAAACAAACAATGTGTTTCTAAATTCAGACGAATTCAGAACGAGATTCCTCGTTGAAAATTATAAGGTATCGACCCTATAACAAAGTTGAGGTTCGATGGTCATCAATGGAAATCCCTATTAGTTTGTCTTGTTGAATTTTATATTAAAATATTATTTAGAATTCTTTATTTTATTTGTTTATTATCTGTTTCTTTTTCTTTTTTTGTAGAACAGTTTACAAACAAATAAATACATTAACATGTGTAGTACGTAACTTGTTTTGAATAACAATTTAAATTCAAAGAATAGGCTACTGTCATATTATCTTCTATTTGTTATCAAATTTAAGTGGGCTGTTGTCAAAATCAGATTTGGGCAAAAATGTAAAAAATAAGCCAGGAAAGTAATTTTCCCGACTAGCATGTGTCACTTCCTTACTTGCAAATGTGACTGACTATATGTTTTGTAAGTGTTTTATATCTCGCCCTGCCTTTATCTGCAGCTACTAAGTTTTGGTAGGGTATATTCAAGTTAATATCGGATATGTTTGTAAGTATATAAATACAATTTTATTATTAAAAGTGTCGTTTAACTTGTTATATTGCCTGGCAACGGTCTCACAAATTTCTTCCTCAAAAAAGATTATATTTTTACTTTCCTATCTGTATACATTAAATTTTAAACTTAAGTTTTATTTCGGCCTGACGTGAAATGATTAGATTTTGGACGAAGGCGGAACATTTGGGGGGGTACTTTATCGGAGGCCGTTTTTATATTTTATGGAATATATCTGTTATTGATGTTTGGAGAAGAAAATTGTTCAGATAAAAATTACTTACAATATTATTATCTATAATTTTGGTTTTATACAATTTTTTTTAATGGTCCGTATTCGAGAAATTTGACAAAATGTAATAAAATTCAAATTTTTAGGAAAATTGTTTAAATAAAAGTTATTTGTGATTTCGATCTCTATAATTTTTTTTTTATATGATTTTTCTAAAATGGACCATATTGGAAAAATTGAACGAAAGTAATAAATTTAAATGTTTCAGTATTTTCGTTTTCAATGAATATCTGTAGAAAAATATTTCGAGTTAGATGTATGTGGAAAATGTATATATTTAGTTTATCCTCTATACATTTATAGAGGTGCTGCAATAGGTTGTACAAAATAACCGGAAAAAGCCTATAATAACTAGATAAGAAAGTCATGTGTTGATTTATCAGATTTCAGATTCAGATATCAGATTTTTTAATTTGGTATCATCGACATCAATTACTATGGTTATTAGCATCGTGGTATGTGTAGGCTTTGTCGCTGTTTCCCAGTACTACTTAAGAAACAGCACTGTTAATTAAAATCCAACAGTAAATGGTCGAGTGGAGAATCCTACCTATGCATTAGAATTCAAACCTGATATCCTTCAATCTAAAAGTCATAACTACTAAGCTAACCCAACCCCCTTAAAAAGAGTGTTTTCTAATTTAATATTTTTAAAAAGAAACATTAAATTGGAAAACACTCTGTTACCTTGAATGGGTATGGATTCCAACACAATGGCGCCCATTCCAGCTGCAGCAGCAAAAAGCCCGACGATACGATACATGACGTAAAACGAAGCAATAGCATTGATGGGCATGAGCCAAATAAAGTGTAAAAAGAAAGAAGCCAAATCAAATCGCTGCACATCATTGGATAATAAATTTATCAGCTGTCCAGCAGCTGTTTGTCCTAGAGAAGAGTGGTTCAGTTTCAATAGCTATAAAATAAATTAAAAGGATCAACTGTTTAAAATTTAAGGAGGGTAAAGTTTTTAGACTTTCTTTTGCATTTTTGTTTAGTTTTTGGTTTTCTGAATGGAGAACCTTTTAAGAATATTGTGTGAAAATTTGAGCTTAATCGGAGCAAAATTAAGGAAAATACAGTAGTTTGAGTAACCGAGCCTCATACATGACTCAGCAGATTTTTAAGTAACTTGCATTTACACTCGCGTCCGCGTTTTCCTCTGAGTCAGACCTAGGTTCTGTTCAGATTTTAGAATGATTGAAAAATATCCTCAAATATTATTTTTATGCTAAAATAATGGTTTTTAAATTTTATTGTTTCTTGCTGTTGCTTGTGAACTTCATTTTCGGTTGTAGCTATTATCTATGTCATTTAAACCTCGTTAAAATCTAAAAAGTTATTTGAAATCGAACAGCTACTGCTAGGTATGCGAGATGTTACTATCAACTGTGAAAACAAGAAAATAATCTACTCTACTTTTGTTATCAGAATTAGTCGCAGTCTCATGGTAAATCGGAAGCAAAATGGAGAAAATGAAATATTGACTACTATCAAGAGAATTAATGTTCATGGAATATAAAATTATCATAATACAAAAACCACATTAAAAGAAAAGCTGTTATGTCCAGCATTGTTCAAGTCTACCTATTTAATAAAATAAAAATGTATGGTCAACAGTGTCTTGGTTTGAACATTATGCACTTTTCAGATGACGTAATAACTTCCCGAAAGAAATTCACATTTATAGTTAACTACTCAGTTAATATCTTATGATACAGGCTGGCCATTTGAAAACAGAACAGAGCTAACTTTGGGCACCCCAGGTATTTTAACCTAGATTATAACCCCCGACTTTTAAATCGCTACTGTCTTCCTAGCCATGATCTTTTAATGATTTTTGTTTTTTTTAAATGCCAACTAGTCATTCGAGTAAATGCTGAAAATGTTGACCGTGGACCTCCATGCAATAATAGAGGTTTTCTTCAAAACGCTCTCGGACATTTTGAAGCATCTGTAGGGTGATTCAAATACATTCATCAACTATCTGTTGTTGCAGAATTTCTAGTGATGTTCGCTGGATGGCATACATTTTCTTTTTTCAAGTGGCCTCAAAAAAATCTAATAGGGTTAGATCTGGAGACCGCTGGAGCCCCTCAATACTTTCTCTTCTTCTGATCCATTGACATGGAAACTTTTAATCCTAATACTGACGAACAGTCAGTGCAAAATGAGGTGGCCCACGGTCTTGCTGGAATATTAAGTTGTTTGCTCTATACTGATATTTATTCTCAATCAACTCCAGTAATGCTGGACAAATTTCGTTTTCTAATATTTCCAGATACGTTTCTGCGGTTCAAGCTCCAGGTAAAAAAAAATGGGACAATTATACGGTTACCAAATATGCCAGGGGTAGAATTCTCGAGTCTCGCATGACAATTGTCGCACACGGCAAATGTCGCATACCAAATTCGTATGGTTGTTAAAAATACGTATTTAGGGGTGCGTTTAAACCTATGACGCCGGGGTATTAAAAAGTGAAATTTTCAGTGGATGTAGTAGTGAAGTACCTGATTAAATCCCACTTAGTCAGAATGTGGCACAAATCATCCTTTCCTCATAAAAAATAATAATCTTTTAGGGGTGCTTTTTAACCTATGACGCAGGGGTTTTAGAAAACCCCAGGGGTAGTAGTCTCGAATGTCGAATACCCAATGACATATATAGATTAATAGACTGCTCATCCATATAAACAAGACGACGAAAAGCGGGTCATATTGCTTGGCTTGCCGAGTGCTCACCAGGCAGAATCGGTCTGGCCCAAATGAGTTTTAAACTCATATTTCATCAAAGTAGGATTTGAAATAAAAAAAAATTATCTGTATGTTTATTTCAAGACAGGAGCTTGCGGTAGGTATTTTAAAGAAGGATTTTGAGTCGTTACGTCTAGTTTACCAATTTTCAAAACATTTTACTAGATCTAACCAATTTTGAACATAGATATAAACAATTTTACACTCATGTGTATATAACTAACTTTAGACCACGACTACTGTATAATGGCACTATTCGGACAATTGATTATTCTTTTAAAATTTATTTCGCATTATAAAAGCAGATATTATGCAAAAATTGAATGAACTTTTTAAAGATTTTACTAAAAGTTAGTAGTTTTTTCACATTCTAAAGTTTGTTCCATTTAGACCATTAAGGATTATTTTGGCGGTGAATGTGAATGATTTGATGAATAATAATAAAATTCCACCAGTGGAAATATGATCAACATCATAGTAAAATGGACTAGGTACAAAGTGCAATCTTAGTTGACGTCAAGATCCGTGTACCTTAGCATCGGTAAGGGGGAAAGAAAGATTCTGACTTACAATCAGAAAAAGAACGTACAACTAAGCTTAGTCGATGTAAGTTAGCTCAGATTAGTGGTAAAAAGAAAGCGACTATTAATAAAAAGAAAAGTAATCCAGCTAAAACAAGAATTATGGCTACTGTCTTTAATAAAATGATATGTTGCCAGTACTAGTAGAATGTTAAGTGTTGAGTTATCTTCTTCAGGCAATGGATGTACGTATGCATAATTTAAAATGTTTGGTTAATTATTATTGTGTTTAATGTGTTTTTGCAGTTAATGAACATATATCTACTACTAAAGCAGATAATGAAGATTTGTGTGCTGCTGAACAGCTTTGCTTGATTTACAAAACTTTGTTTAAAAGCAGAAAATTGGGATCGATTGTTCAAGACAAGTGAAGAGTGGTGATTTAGTTGATCCGTTTTCAAACAGAATTGTTAGTGCTAAAGAACTATCTACTTTAATAGGATTGCAATCCTTCCAGTTATTAGCCACCATTGTGGAATTAGTGGCAGAGTTGTTTCTAAAGAATAGGAAAAAGGAGATCAGTTATGTCTGTAAAGGATCAAGTTATATTTACTTTTATGAAGTTGAAAACTGATATGCAAGATATAATGTTCTATCCATTTTATTTGGAGTGAATGAAACTTTTTATCGTTAAATTTTTTAACAGTTTTTAATAAAACTGGTAGAAGTTCTTAGTATGGTATAATTCGGCTTTCAAAACAAGAAATATTAAATAATGTGCCTCTATGTAAATAAGAGTACTACTTTGTTGTAGGCTAAAAAATTACTCTGACTACAAAAAGAGGCATACTATTAAAATATTGACTGGAGTGTTACCAACTGGTCTCATTACTTATAAAAGTGAAGGATATGGTGGTAAACTTCAGAAATAGACATTTTTTAACAAAGTTCAATACTTGAAGTGTGTGAATTATTTTTCGATAGTAAAATGTTTAACAAAGGTTTTCTTATTGGAAACATAACAGAAGCTGAAGGTATACAAATTATATAGCCTCCTTTCCTCAATAAAAAAAATCAGTTCAGCCATCAAGAGGCTTTACTTAATGCCAAAATTGCAACAGCTAGAATTCACATAGAAAGAACCTATCAAAGAAAAAAAGTGTTTGTCTCTCTGTATTGGTACTTATGTCCGTTTTTCTTCTATTTATATTGAGTTTTTATTATACGATACTTCTCTGTATCTATCTAACTTTTAAAATGTACTTGTAAAGCCCAGATAGCTCTAACTCGGGCCTTTGAATATAATAATATTTATGTAATTGTATATACAATAAATACTTTATTATTAATATTATTATTATAATTAATTATAATTCATAAAATTATTATAAACGTATTTACCTTGTACCTACTTGTATTGATAATTGCGTGAAAAATAAAATGTTACTTTTTATATTTCTGTAGCTGGTCTTACAAACCTTTATAGAGCAATTCACCATTTAAATTTAAAAACAAAACAAGTTTTTATACTCAAATAATTAAAAAACTTAAAACAGAACATAAGTATAATTAAAACTAAATAAAATAAACAATTCAACAAAATGTCCGACTGAGTAATGACAATGAGAACAAAATCTCAACTAGACTAAACTTTCTTTAAAACCGGTCCTGTGAAGGTTTGTTTACCAGTGAGCACTCAAAATTGAGACAAAACACAAACATTGCATGTACTAGACAAAGAGAAAACATCTCTCAGTTCGACCCGCTTTTCATCGTTTTATTTACGTATGGATAAGCAGTCTATTTAAACTATATATGTCATTGCGAATACCTCGATTCGCATGCAAGATTAGTAAAATGTCGAATTGCAACAAGGTGATTTTAAAAAAGTGTATCCTCGAAAACAGGATACGACAAATGTCAGGTGAATTCAACACGAGTGGTCTAAAGTGCTCGAATTTAAATTAGTATGCGACTTTATGGACCGTAAATATGGTTGAGGTAGATTTTGATAAAATTAATATTTGGTGGCTGTTGAAAATCAATACATTATTAAAGAGTGACTGCATAGAAGGAAGAAAGTCGCATATGAATTTAAATTCGAGCACTTTAGACCACTCGTGTTGAATTCACCTGACATTTGTCGTATCCTGTTTTCGAGGATACACTTTTTTAAAATCACCTAGTTGCTATTCGATATTTCACTAATCTTGCATGCAAATAGAGGTATTTGACATTCGAGACTACTACCCCTGGGGTTTCTAAAACCCCGGCGTCATAGGTTAAAAAGCACCCCTAAAAGATTATTATTTTTTTATGAGGAAACGGCGATTTGTGCCACATTCTGACTAAATGGGATTTAATCAGGTACTTCACGACTACATTCACTGAAAATTTCAGTTTTATAAAACCCCGGCGTCATAGTTTTAAACGCACCCCTAAATATGTATTTTTAACAACCATACGAATTTGGTATGCGACATTTGCCGTGTGCGACAATTTTCATGCGAGATTTGAGAATTCTATTATCCCAGGCCAAACATTCAGTTTTTCCGGATGTTTCGTATGCACTTCGTGAAATACTGTGGGATTTAAATCGGCAAATAACGAAAATTGTGACGATTTACCGTACCATTTAGGAAAAAGTGCATTCGTCAGAAAAACACACGTTGAATAGAAAGTGCTGATCATTTATTGCCCGTTCAGTCATAATTTCACAAAATTGTAATCAGAAACGTCAAAAAACTTCATAAACATAAATTAGATATGTTCTTACTTTTCTGTAGACTAGAGAACACACTGCTACTCGAGTTCTCATGCAGGTCCTCTGAGCGTATAAATTCGAACTGTGAAAAAGGACCACCATAATAAAAACCTGTAAAACGACTGCAGTCGCCAATAACCATCCAGTTTGTCCACTGTTGTTTTTGTTAAAATAATTGACATATCCGGCTAATGTTAGAGGAAGCACCATCCTGTACAGAAATTATTATGGTTAGAAGTTGAAAGTGGATGTACTAAGGCCAGTATTGGTTTAGGCCAAAAAAAAACGTAATAAACGGGCGCACTAAAACGTAATAAATTTCAGTAAAAGGTAATAGGTTTTAGTAAAAGGTACTAAATGTCATTTTAAGATCGGATTCTTTTACATTTCGGCGCATACGTACATTTAAAATTTACCTTTTTTATAAGTCACAAAAAAATTCCTCCGTTGGATTATTCCAGACCTAATGTTTAAGCATGCGCGATTTAAAGATAGTAATATTTTTAATTTATGCTCACTGGAAATGTAGAAATTTATTGTGCTGAGGATGAATAATACTAAGGTATTTTTCTTGAATGAATAGTGATATATTTTAGAAATACATTTAAACCAAAAAAGTAATAGATTTATTACAAAAGTTGGATTTATAATCTTCGTTCAGTTCGCGTTCAGTTCACGCTCAGTTCGAGTACAACATAAACAAAGCAGAATGACACGGTAAGTAAGTTTTGGATAAGAAATTTATAATTATTTTATAACCAACACCATCTACAAATTTAATTAAAAGAAAAATAACAACAAAATATAATTTATTTTGTGGAATGTGCGGTTATGTATTGTCAACTCGAACTGAGCGCCAACTGAACGTAGTTTACAAATCCAGCTTATTTATAAACAGATCTCGGCCAAGTCCGACTCAACTGAGTCGTCCCTTGAACGCTAATAGAAGTTCGTTTACAACTTCTCTAAAGTTCCAGGTGGTTCCGGTGTTACACTGGCATTTAGAAATAGATAGTAGCAAACCTGTAACTGTTTAGTACATACACGAATTTGTTACTGGGGAACGATTACAATAAGATGAACATAACTACGTCATCAATTGACAAAGTAATTTGCTTGCTATTGCCGCCTACTACCCAGCTAGCACATAACGTTGCCAATACTTTCAGCGATGTTGCATTAAGGGAACGTAATAACATCTGACAGGTTAAAACGACTAAACCGACAATTCCAGAAGCAGAAGCGGATGATTAAAACGCACCTGATATTTTGCATGCTGCTGTCAGTCAATATTATTTTTGGAGTCACAGTTTATTGCTAAAGAATCAGTTAGCTCACTCGGACCAGTGGAAAGTTCCAAAATAACATCCACTCCAGGGATACAAATTCAGGATACGCAGAAGACTGCTGTTTTATTATAGGCAGTTGTCATATATTGTATTATCCGAGTTGCGCAGTGTATAAACTGGAACATTGAGATTAAAAGTGCCGACGCAGAGTGAGCGATTTGATTCTTTAGCTATAAAATGTGGCATAGGAATCAAACTGGCCGCGCCCTATGTTAGGCGTGTCGGACCTCCCTCTTGCACCGTATAGTAATCAAAGTATGTGGACTAACACCACTTATTTGCGAACATGGGATTTAGATACCATCTATTAGAATAACTTCTAAGCCACCTTCTGACAAAACTTCAGAGTGTGTACTTAACCGGTTAATTTTAAATTGAAATAATAGAAATTTAGCGATTTCCGATTTGACAGTTGCCAAAGAGAAATTTGCCTAGCCCCACACTTCTGTTTAAAAGGGTAACGCGTGGGAATATATATTTTTTTTGTTACATTCTGAGTTATATGTGTTAGATGTGAAGAACAATAATAATATAATAATGTATTTGTTAAATAATAACGGTTTTCTTTTCTCCTGTAAAATTTTCCAAAACGGAGATATGCCTTTTTCTTATTAGGGTGACGATATATAGAAGACTTAGATAAAAGAAACAACAGATGATGCATTTAATTCATAAAGTATGTTTTGTTTGGTCCCAATCATCGGAAAAGAGAAAAAAGATATTTTTATGCTGATCGAAAGAAGACAGACTGTAATCGAAAATATCGTCTGGCGACGCTGCTGTTTCACGCAACTAAAAGTCTGTCGATACCAGTGGCGTATCTTATTAAAGATAAAATCATAACTAATTATAAAAAAATAATGAAATACTAACCTATATGGTATGCAATAAACTTTATAATGGTTTAAACTTTAAAACCGAATGGATTTGGAATAAGGGTATGAAGTTCAGTGGATTGTAGGTAAAAAACTTAAAAACACTCTTTTTTTCCCAAGAATATTACAATATTTATTGCATAAATATGTTAAATAAAATAAATAAACTAAAAACAAGATAAATAAATCAAGATTTATTTTAAACAAATTTTCGATTCCAAATTTTGGGGTTAAAATTTAAACAGAATTACAAATTTATAAATGAAAGATTTTTAACACTAATAAATTTATAAAAGTTAATAAATCAATAAATTTACCATACACAAGGTGAGGATTTTAATTGGAACGCTTCTTATAGCGGATCTGGCGATAAGAATTTTGTAAAATCCTAAAACACGTAGAACTGTACAACAATAAACCTATCCATTGATAGTTTTTAACTTGTAAAACTAGGCAGTAAACTAACTTACTTGTTATCATCCATAAATAGTTTTTTTCTAAATGTGTGCAGTATAGATAAACTATCTTCTGGTTTCTTACTAGGGCTGTCAAAAATACTGATACTGGAATCAGAGCTGTAACAGAGTATTCAGAACTTTTAATGTAAAGGTAGGTATACATTTTGAATAATAATAAGGTAATCCATGAAAATAATCATAGGAAAAGGCATGTAATACGAGTTTATAAAAAAATTTGTCCTTGTTAAGCACCTACAAAATTTAAAGAACTTACAATATAAAAACGTATGTGTAAGATAAAGTACCAACTTTAATCTTAAAGGATAAACACTTAAATGCTCCGAGTATAAAACTCTTTTTTGGATACCTTTATTTTCTTCAAATTCTACAAGTGATAGCCAAATATTTCTTGTATGCCTTTCAGTTGGGAATCTAAAAATCAAGCATAAGCATATTTATTTCAGTACTATAGTGCAGACTAAAGTGTTTTTATTAATTACAATTTTTTGTGAAATTAATAACGTTGAAAGATCAAAGAAAATAATAGTAAAATAAAAGTAGATAATACATGTGATATTACGGCAAAAATCTTTAAATCTATACCACTGAACTATGCAATATATTATCACCTAACCTTACTTACTTATGAAAAGATACTTCACCACCCACATTTTCTAGTTTTTTTGCACAAAAGGCACTCGCGAAACATGTTGTTAACTGTACACAAGCCGAAATTTTTCCAAAAAAGGCTAAAGATTAACAAAAACACCCAATATTTAACAATTTACTGGACCGCAACGTCGCAAACTATCGATGGATAAAATACTATACGTGACGTCCGTGACGTATAGTATGAATGAAAGAAGGTTATTTTAAATTGCGGTGGTATCACGTTTAACGCTTTTAAAATCCTTGCATTCATTTTCATTAATAATAATGGCGTTTGCCATAGTTTATCTTAGTATTTAAAAAGTTTTTATTTAGCAAGCGTATGTATGTAAAAACGATAGGTACAAAAATGCTCTGCATAATGGTGTGAAAATAGGTGCTGCTAAAATATCAAGTCTGCTGAAAGCGGTTAAAATAGCTTAATCCACTTTGTACACATTTTTTATGTTATTGTCACAAACATCGGCGAATAGATACAACTTAGCTTATTCACGATTTATGGATTGGCGCTAACAAAATAAGGTAAATTCTTTTTCAGAAAATATTTTAATGGCTTATTTTAGGGAGCTATCAAAGCCTTTTACACCTTCTACATTATGGTCAATACACTCGATGTTTATTAAAAAAAAAATGAAAAAATCATAACTGGGTAAGTATGCTACAAATTTCTAATGTAAGATAGGTATACGGAGTGGCCCAAAAGTTTGAAAACGGCCAATTATCTCGTAAGTTGCTAATCCTAATTGTACAAAATTAGGGGTACACCTATTTTGGGATACGGAGATTCTAGATTTGATATTTGCAATGTTGCCAGATTTGCCGTTTTTCTTATATTATTAGTCACTTTGGTTTTTCAAATTCATCACCCTGTATATTCAATCATTATTGGAATCTCCTTTTCAATAGGAGAAAGCGCCTGGTAGACGTAATCCGTTGTGAAAAGAATCAGACAATTGTTGATTGGAGATTATAATACAATACAATTGAATACATTAGAAATCAGCTTTCATATTATTACGTTTTTTCCCGACCCTTTTTTTGTACGTTGAGTTTTTGGTACCAAACTTATTATCTACTATAATATCATTGTATAAAGAACTAAATAGTAGTCTCACCTTATGGAAGTTTCATTGGAGCGAAATGGATACTACTAATAGATGGCGCTAGTGAATATGGATAAGTCGATATTCCTTTGCAGTGGGCGGAGTTGAGGGTACAGCAGAAATGTTTAAGAATGACTGAGACCGATCGGTAAATTTCTATTTTTAGCTCTTGGATGAAATTTTATACACTAATTACGTCAACGTTCCTTATGGGAATTGAAGAGTCAACGACTTTTTTCCTAGAAACTCTTATCGCGTATCTTATTTCATTATTCTGGTTTACAACATTTTTATGTGAATTATTCACTTGTTAATTAGCTCTCTTGATAGTTAGATGTATTGTTAGATGAAATAAAACTTGTAAAATAATAAAGTATATTTTTTAAAAAACGAATTTCGAGATCAGAAAATATTTGTGGCGCAGTCAGTAGGATATCCAAGTTGTCGCGTATCGAACGTGTCAATTTTCGTTTTAACGATTGATTGGATATCGAACATTTGTCGCGATTCGTGTGTGGAGGTGTTGATATTGGAGTGGTTCCCCAAACATCGAGAAGCCCATCCATCGAGGACCAGTATAGCCGTTCACAACAATCAGCGTCGAAAGTTGGGACACAAATCGCTCAACTTTGCAAGGAGTGCAGATTCCAGGGATAGGTACTGTTCATCCTTATAGTTAGACAGCGATAATGCTCAAATTCGTGTTTTTATTGTAAGTAACTTAAAATTATTTTTTTTAATTTTTAAATGTCAATTG